ACCCTTGTATGTTTATCTCATTCCTATCACTATCTGTTTTCATTCTGAAGTATCTCAAATATAAGTTTTCTTTCCCCCTTTTAGGGTACATTTTCTTAGGATTTCCAAAGGTAACATTTTAGGGACTCTCTGGATATACTTTTCATTGTTACATTGGATTCTCATATGACTTTGTTTCCTTCTCACTTTGGGCTATTCCCTTCGTATAAGTCAGGGATGGTCCTCCAGATTGTTACATTCCTGCTTCAGGAGTGATTTGAGAGAAACATCCAAAGAAGAAATAACAACATTTCCTTGACTAGCTAAGATCACTGTTAAACTATACTTTGTGTACAGGAATTCAGCATGGCAAATGAAACTTTAGTGAGAACTGTTATTGTAACTAAATTCTGAAATAGTGGGCTGGGAAGGCAGTACAAATGATCTAGCGGTTAGATATTGGCTGACATCTTTTCAGTTCCTGGCATGACCTTTGATTATGTTACTCAGTAATGCACCCTTTTAAAATAGAAATAATAATTTACAGTCTTTGAGTCTTGATTGCTTATAAATATTGTATTAATGTATATGTTGTAATGCTATGAAATACCTTTGGAAGACTGATCTTTAAAAATGATGAAAAAATAGCCTGAATAAATAATAACTCCCATTGTTCTGTGGTGTAAAGCATCCTGTCTCTTAATGGCACTCTATACATAAAATAAAGTAAACCTTACTTTGTTTTCTCCTCACAGTGAGATAAATGGTATACAAGAATCCAAAATATAGAAAAAAATCAGCATTGTTTCAAAAATGTAATTACTGAAGAGGCCCTCCATTTTTAGTTTGAATAAGGACAGTGAGGAGAAGGCTATGGTTCTCTAGATTTTCTTTGATGACACCTCTCATCATTCTCCAACCACTGACTCTCATTCCTGGGGATGATGGATGTTGGAGTCTAACAACCACCAGAATTCTCTATTCCTGGCAGAGGCCTGTTGGCTTTCAGATGCTAAACATTTCCATGGATATATTGGCTTGCTTTCATTGTATGTGGTTTGATAATGTGTTGATGAGATTGTGTAGATGCAATAGGCTACATCCCACATACTTATTTTCTGAAGCAGCAAAGCTAAGGATTTGTCTATTGAAAATACTTAAGAGAACAAGAACCTACTCAGTATGTGCCGTGGTTTAACTTTCTGTACCTCTGCATTTATCTTGCAATGCTTCAAATGTACTTTCCAGGTTCCAAGAACTTGCAAAACCAAAGGAGGTAAAAGATGTATGGAACCTTTCTCGGTAAGATTGAGAGTTACAAAATTTTACATGGTGCAGAGTTCCTCATGTACACTGCCTCTGTTGTGTCTTTATCTCACTTACATCAGACTTTCACAGTAGCTAAGTATTACAATTGCCTTATTGCTCAAAGGGATGTGGGGAGATGGGGCTGAGGAAAAGCTGTTTGTAGTCAGGTAGCACATCCATATAAGAAGCTGCAAGATTTGCACTAGGTTTGCAATTCATCTCTTTACCACAACACTACACCAATATGAATTCAGTCAGTTTGCAAAAATTGGCTTTTCCTTATATTTGTAACCTACTTTTCTTCATTTGGGTGAATCAAGTTCGAATAAGTATCATTTACTTGGCAATCTCCCATCAAAGCACTTAACAGGATATCAGTAAAGTCTAGGCTACTGTCTCATACTTTCAGACTATGCCCAGACCTGAAATTTTAAAATTTATAGCTTGCCTAACCCAGAACTATAATCAAAACTGGATTTTTTGAAAAGGCACACAAAAATTACAGTTCTGAATGCAGGATGTATTTTACAGCCTGTTAAATAATTCTACTAGATTGCTGAAGAAGCTATGTCCTCAAATTGAACTGAGTAAATGGCTTGCCACCAAAAGAGTGACAAAATGTGATCCTCTCAATAGTACAAGTCGCTCCCAAAGGTAGCAGTCACTCTATCAAGATTCCTTCCATCTTGCACCATGTTCTTGCTACTTTTTGGAAAGGTTTCAATAGTATAGTTTCTGTATTTAAACTTTTTCCCCAACTAATTGAACCTTTACCAGATAACCCTTCAGCCTTCTTTCAGTTAGAACACACAATTCTGTGAAGCTGCAAGGCCATTCAATGCTAATTAAGGTGACCAATTGCAACATTCCCACTTGCCTCCAACAGAGAAGAGTTCTTTCTCCCACCCTGGACATTATTCCACAGATATATAAACCCCACTTGCCTAGTTTCCAACAGATCTCACAACCTCTGAGGATGCCTGCCATAGATGTGGGTGAAACATCAGGAGAGAATGCTTCTGGAACATGGCTATACAGCTCGGAAAACTCACAGCAACACAATACTGTGAATTGTTTGGTTTACTAATATGTGGAGGCAGGTCATAAAATTCAAATGCCACTGGCTCCCTTGAAGATTGAGCTGTTGCAGTTAAGTCTGACATGAGTTATGAGCTCTTCTTTGTAATGTGTTTGGAAATTACAGCTTATGTAATATGCCACACTGCTAGTATAGGTGGACCACCATATCAACGGATTCAACTATTCACCACTTTAAAACATCCCCCACAAAAAATCTACAAAATAAACCTTGGGGTGGGGTTTTTTTTTGTAGTTTTATATAAGGGTCAGTGTATTGCTATGCCATTGTATATAATAGAACTTAAGCATCCACAGATTTTGGTTTCCATGTAAGGTTCTGGAACCAAACGCCAATTGATACCATGGGCCCACTGTATGTCGCACTGTGTGACTCTCGGAATTTTGAATGGCTTCAGATGCATTTCAAAAGTCCCACAAAAATTCTGGTTGTTGCCTGTAAGTCTTATATTAATTGTTTAACAATGGAGTACTTGCAAGACTACTTACTTCCAGTTTGCAGTTCTGAATAGTTTTCACTCAGACCCTTAGTGGAGGCTATGCTCCATATCCTGATCCTAGCCGAAGGGCATGGTGTTTACATGGGGCAGTTCCTGCCCAGACTTTGCAGTGCTCTCCCCAGTAAGCTAATATAACTATTGACATTCTTGCACCTCCTGAAAACTCTGGTCTTTCATCACACTCTTGACCTCAATGCCTTAATTCCATCTCTGCCCCTGATCTTTGAAATTATCTTTGGCTGGGCTGTTTTTCTTTCTTTAGATGTTTTATTTTGATTGTATTGATTTCATTTCATGCTGTTTTATAGAAAGTGTGGGTGCATACCGTATATGTAAATATCACCTGCCATCAGTGAATTCACAACAAACAACTTAATGGCCCCAGTGTGAAAAAACAGGAGTAACAAATTCTGCTTATGCAAATAAAGCACCTTTGGGTATCATTGGTTTGCATGTTTCCCTCTATGCTCTCAATTAAAAAATAATAATTCATGTTGTTTTCAACCTAAATTCAGTGCAAAGTATTAAATCTAGTATTTGTTTTTGTAATGATTCTATTAATACCATTTTTAATATAATATCTTAAAATAGGGAATTAAGGGTAGTATTTGTTTTGTTTTGTATCTTCAAGTTATTTCTTACTTTTGTGAACCCTAAAGCAAACCTATTATAGGAGTGTCTTGCAAGATTTTTTACAGTTTGTCATAGCTGTCCTCTGATGCAGAGGGAAATTGTTTATTTGTTTATTTATTTATTTATATTTAGAGTATTTATACCCCACTCTCTAACCACAAAAGCTCCCAGTTTGAGTGGGAATTCAAGCCATGGTCTCCCAGATTCCTTTTCCAAAATTGAAATGACAGTACCATAGTGGCTCTCTAAATGTGGCATAATCAATTGCAATGGAACTAAATGCATGCTATAGTCAGTATCATAGTCAATATTGTTCCTTTGAGTTCAATGCCATAGTCACTATCTTTTTAATTAAAATCAGTATTTTATCAATCAAATTTAATATAAGTACAGTTCAAGTTCATTTATATAACAATTGAGTATAAGTAGTGGATTTTGTTTGTTAATAAAGAGTAAAAGAACTCTTATGGAATGTAATAACTTTCACGGAAATTTTATTTTTAATTCCAATAAAATAAAATTTTGTTTCATTTACATATTTGTATATAATTGTATGTATTGTTAACTACAAAAACCTTATGAAAATGAAAAGTGTTGTTCTCAAGCAGTTGGCCAACCTGAAAAGTAGCCCCTGACTTCATAGTAGTTGCCCACCCCTGGTTTACAGAGGAAAGAGCTATAAGTATGTATGGATGTGTTTGTAAAACAAGGTATGTTCCTAACAAGATATGTTCCTTACCATGTTTTGATTGGTGCTTGCATTCTGTATTCATAACAGTAGATTAGTCTGGGGAAACCAAGAGACGATATGGCCCCTCTCCTTAGGTGCTCTGACAAGTCGACCAAGCCCAAGGATTCTGGCTCTGGCACAACCCAAGGAAAAAATGGATGAAGCTCTCCAGAACAGGCTTGTCTTTTTTCTGCCTTTATTTCCCTTGCATAAAATCATATTGGAAGTGACTGGGAGAGTCCAATATTTAAAAAAATATCTGTGTTTCATGGGCCCAATGGGCCATTGGGCAAGTGCTTCAGAACAGTAGTTCTCTCAGTCACAATAAACAAACCTTTGGCCTCAAAAATTAATCAGTTGTTCTCCTGTTTTATTTCTTGATTAATTTTTTTACAGACTTTGATTCTGCTCTCTTTCTTATTTTTACATTCGAATCATCTATGGTTTTTTAAAAACCCTGTTTTGGTGTATGATCAGTTTCCTCTGAGATTCTAAAATAAAACCTTTGAAATTCTTCTTCTGCTTCTGTAATTGGAGCATAATTTGTATTAGGGTTACATTGATAGGATTTCCCTTATTAATATGATTTAGTCAACATTTCATTATATCCTTTCGCTGCTTTTGTTACATCTCTCATCAGTATCCATGCCACCCCATTTCTCTTTAGATTTCCCAAATAAAACTATGTAATTGTCTGACTCTAAATGTCTAATTCCTTTCCTCATTTACCTCAAGTATTGCAATGCTTATTCAGTCCATTTCTTTTCCCCCTATGTCTAGCTTTCCCTGATTCATGCTTCTCACATTCTGTGGGCCCCGTGGTGGTGCAGCAGGTTAAACCGCTGAACTGCTGAACTTGCTGACTGAAAGGTCAGTGGTTCAAATCCAGGAGGCGGGATGAGCTCCTGTTGTTAGCCCCAGCTTCTGCCAACCTAGGACAACATGGCTCTTTGGCTTAGAAATGGAGATGAGCACCACCTCTCAGAGTCAGACACGACTAGATTTAATGTCAAGGGGAAACCTTTACCTTCACTATTCAGTCAATTTCTTTTTTCCCTATATCTAGCTTCCCCTGATTCATGCTTCTCACATTCTGTGTTGCTGTAATGTCTTTTTTTTTACAGTTAAGACTTTCATGAGGCTTTAATATTACTATGAAAGAAGTAGGTTTATATCAATGAAAGCTAAAATAAAAATCAGTTCATCTTAAAGGTGCTCCCCATTTCTTTCCTCCTTCCTATCCCTTCCTCATTTTTCAGCCAAATACATTGTTTAGGAACATGGTCACTCCAGTGGAATCATCACAGTGGCCAATCTCTCATTGAAATAAGGGATCTCACTAAATATGATGAGTTAGCTCTTAAGTGAATTATATCCAGTGTTGTCTTATTAGTATACTGATACTTATTCTAAAACATTGATGTATTTTGCTCTTTTAAAGCACCTTGATTCTAAATGCTGCTGCTCAGTATAGCAAATTAAAAGTCTAGCCGTAAGAAATAACTAGTACTGCTGGTTTGACGTTACTGATGTGCACAGGCCAGTATGTAATTCTCTGAGAAAGTGGTTCTCAATTTGTAGGTCTCCAGGTGTTTTGGCCTACAACTCCCAGAAATCTCAGCCAGTTTACCAACTGGGTTGCTGTGAGTTTTCTGGGCTGTTTGGCCATATTCCAGAAGCATTATTTCCTGATGTTTCGCCCACATCTATGGTAGGCAGACATCCTTAGAGGTTATGAGATCTGTTGGAAACTGGGTAAGTGAGGTGTGCTTGTGTGTGTGTGTGTGTGTATGTGTATGTGTATGTGTATGTATGTGTGTGTGTGTGTGTGTATATATATATATATATATATATATATATATATATATATAGGATCTCACAACCTCAGAGGATGCCTGCCATAGATGTGGGTAAAACATCAAGAGAGAATGCTTCTGGAACATGGCCATACACCCCAGAAAACCCACAGCAACTCAGTGATTCCAGCCATGAAAGCCTTCGACAACACAGTTTGCCAACTGCTAGCATCTCTGGGAGTTGATTGCCAAAACATCTGGGAACCCACAAGTTGAGAACCTATGCTCTAAGAGAATATCAACACTGTTCTAATGTCACTTTTCTTTTCACTTATGTTCCAATATTACCTCAGGGCTAGAAACCCTGGAATTCTTCCAGGAAAGCATTGACAGCTAATTGCTCAAAGTCATCAGTATACATTTTGTGGTGCTAAAGAATCCTAGTAGAATGGAAGGCTACATTTACTTGCAAATTAACACCTGTAGTAGTTTTGGCCTTCAGTTGAAGTGGAAGAAGTTTGTTCTTACTTTCAATAATACATGTTTTTTTTCGTGTCAGAAATGATTTGAGAAACTGCAAGTTGCTTCTGGTATGAGAAGTGAATAATACAAGTAATAATACATAACATTCATTGTTATGGTAAGTTCATACCATGTTCAACAGTGGACAGGCGACATGGATAGTAGTGAAAAGGGTGTAGCATTATTCTCGATTGCCAAAAAGTCTGACTCATGAACTGAGCAGCAAATTCTGCTGAAATGGTAGAATGTTTTAATTTGAATTCCAGAGCCCTTTTAAGTGCCAGCTCATAAAGCACACTGGAACACTTCCTGGAATAATTTAAGTACAACTTTCTAGTTTTTAGATTCCCTTCCTTTGATTTTCCTCTAAAGCTTTTGTTTATTTCTATGGATAGAATAGTCAGATCTCAGGGTATTTGTGCATGGCTACAACACAAGTGTTGTATCTGTGACAGTGGGCATGGTGTAATTTTGAGGCAGAATGAAAAGTATGTGATAGTGAGCAGAAAACTGAGGCTATCCTAATCTAATGTTTATTTTTCCAAAAGCAAGCTTCTGTTCCATGCAGCTATGCAATTGAAATTATTAATAAAATACCAACTAAAATCTTTAAAGCTATCAGGGTCATTCAGTGAGAAACAGACTAGACATTAGTCTGTTTCTCACTGAATGACCCTGATAGCTTGGTTGTGCTTAATTCATATAACATAAGCACTGGAGATGTTTGGTTGTGCTTAATTCATATAACATAAGCACTGGAGATGTGATCCGAAGGTGCAGTACAGACAAGAGGGGAACAATATCTTCCCTTGCATTCTACTTACTTGCTTCCACCTTTACAGCAGAAGTTATTTCCAGTTTTGGGAGCACCTTCATCTTTACTGCTCATCCTGCTTATTGTATTGCCCAGTAGTTGCCATGCTAGGCCCCCTTCCATGATACCTAAGTATGCTAGGAGCCACGATGACGCAATGGGTTAAACCCTTGTGCCTGTTGGACTGCTGACCTGAAGGTGGCAGTTCAGATCGGCCAGACAGGGCGAACTCCCATCTGTCAACTCCAGCATCCCTTGTGGGGACATGAGGGAAGCCTTCTACAGGATGGTAAAACATCTGGGTGCTCCTGGGCAACATCCTTGCATACAACCAATTATCTCACACCAGAAGTGACTTGCAGTTTCTCAAGTTGCTTCTGACATGATTTTAAAAACCCAAAAAAACCCAAGTAAGCTAGTATGATTCCTCTTTAACTGCCAGGACTTCAGTCTATGGAATCCTGGGATTTGCAGATTGGAGAGAAGGATTTAGGATTCTCAACCATAGCACACTATTGCTTCACAAAGCTACATGTTCCAGGGATCTCTAGGATGCAGCCATGTCAGAGTGGCAAAATAGCACTATAGTAGAGTGATGTACAAGAGTGGTGGTGAATTGCTCATGGGTTTTACTCCAGATTATAAAAAGATAATCCAAAATGCTTTGCTTTGTTCCCAAAATAGATTCCATACTTTGGCTAACCCTTTTAGAATCTGGAAAAAAACTCAGAATGGATTTACTTCACCCCAATATGGAAGCCATTGGCCAACCCTAATTCTTCCCTTTTGTTACGAAGTTGGCAGCAGCATTAATTTGCACAAAAATCTACTGCTGTGATTTTAGTTTGGCCTTAGGATTTTCCAAAGGGATAGCTTTGAATACAAAAACTAAAATTATTATAATAAAATGTGTGACTTTTCCATCCATGCACTAGATCTCAGAGAATTCTAGCTTAGGGCTCTTCCACACAGCTCTGTATCCCAGAATATCAAGACAGAAAATCCCACGTTATGTGAGTGTGGACTCAGATAACCCAGTTCAAAGCAGATATTGTGGGATTTTTTGCCTTGATATTCTGAGATACAGGACTGTGAGGGAGGGCCCCAAGTTTCCCCTTTCATGCCCCAAAGCCTGTGCAGAATTGTGTCTGTTCATAGATAAGACAGAGCTTTTATGCCTGTCTTTTAGTATGTGCTCAAGTTAGTGGTAGCAGAAAAGTATTTTTATTAGGTACCATGTCTACTAGAACTGTAAATATTCATGCTTCAAGAACATGATAATGCTTAGACATCTGGGTATGTTGAATGCTGCTGATGAAGTGTAGGATGGCATCACCTGAATCCTTGGTCCAGTAGGAAATCCATAATAATAAATGCAGCTCTTGACTTAATGTATTATCATACTTAATCTCAGAAATTAGATATTTTCCCCTGTATTTCTTTAGAAATACTGCCAAACCATGTATTAGCAATACAGAAATCGTGGGCTCATACTGTTCCTTTCTTCTATTCCCAACATCTGATTCCTGCCTCTGATCCCTATTTGAACAAGACAAATAGCACTAAACCAGGCATGGGCAAACTTTGACCCTTCAGGTGTTTTGGACTTCAACTCCCACAATTCTACCAGGCCATCAAATGCTAATCAAGGTGGTCAGTTGAAACATTCACACCTAGCTCCAGTAGACAAGAGTTCTTTGTCCCACCCTGGTCATTCCACAGATATATAAACCCATTTTCCTAGTTCCAGCAAACCTCACTACCTCTGAGGATGCTTGCCATAGATGCAGGCGAAACGTCAGGAGAGAATGCCTCTAGAACATGGCCATATAGCCCAAAAAAACCTACAACAACCCAGTCTACCAGCTGTTAGGAATTGTGGGAGTTGAAGTCCAAAACACCTGGGAGGCTGATGTTTGCCCATGCCTGTTCCAAACTGTACACCAGTGATAAACCTTGATTTGTAATCTTGGTTTACAAACAACCACAAATAATTATTGTTGTTATTGTTGTTATTATTATTTTATAAACAGACACCAATAACAGTGAATCACAGTGTTAGAGGTGAGAAGGAAAGGAAATGAGGGATACAAATACCTGAGGATCCTCAAGACTTGCTCACTATCAATTGGACATTACATTTCAACTCGCCTGTAAAAAGAACCAGCCTATAATTTACAGTAATATTAGATTAATGGCTGTGATTCAAAATATATGCTTCATATGCACTGCTGATTATAATTTCTGTGTGTTCGTATCAACTTCAGATTTGTTGAAATATTTATTTTTTAAAGATTTTATTATAATTTTTAAATAATGGTATTTGAACCTAGAAGATCACGAACATTTTACTGCCTTGAAGGAACAGCGAAAACTTAGACTCTTCACCTTTTAGATGGGCCAATGGCTCACAATCATTTTCAAATTATCAAAGACAGTCAAGATGAATGAAATAAGGTGGCACTAATATTTTGAACATGTTCTTTTAAGTAATAGTTCACACCTGCGTTGTCTATACTGATATTTTGTGGTGTCTCCTAAGGTCCCTCTTCAAGTACAGCTGTGGTCGGGAGTCCGAGATCTGGCATCGCCCCCCATATCTATATTCTATAATGCCCTCCCAACGAATACTGCAGCTAGCAGAACCTAAACAATACTTAGACATCTACCTGAAACAAAGGTGAGATTCTCCCACTACCAGCTGTCTTACTCTTGTGTTCCAATTGGGTTTTCAGCACAGTTTCAAAGCCTTTAAGAGACGACCCTTCAGAGAGGCTCACATACTAACACAACTCCCAGAAATCCCAGCCAGTTTACCAGCTGTTAGGATTTCTGGGAGTTGAAAGCCACAGCATTTGAGGACTCACAGATTGAGAACCACTGTTCTAACAACATCTCACTTGGTGCTACCCCTCACACATGTTGATGTTTCCTGTAGTATGTTGTGGTTCCACAATACTCAAAGTTTAGAGAAGTTACTATTTGAGGACATCTCACTGAATTGAGCATGAAGAATGCTAAGGATTGTATGTCAAATACATTTTCTAAGCTCTACATAATAGTAATGTGTTTAAGAACGTTGGGGAAGAGGGTGAATGGCAACAATAAGATTCCTTCTCACACAAATCTCAAACTTCTTCTCATACTTAAGACTCAATTCATACTTAAGACTCAATTAATTCAGTACTGGTTCCCATCCCACTGCTCAGGGCAAATGGCTTCATTGAAGGAAATTGCTCCATAGATGGAGAACTACCTTTCTTGGTCCAAACCTGCGGGAACAGGTCTCTGCGGAAACATAGTCTTCACTGTAGGTAATGGTTGCTCTCCCATCATCCTCTCCCAATAACATATACAAACCCCAAGAAGATAGGTCTACTCTCACAGCTCTTGCCTCTAAATTGGTTAGGGCATCAGTTGCTATTTCACCATCAGGCAGTACTGCCACTCAACAAAGTTTTACTCTTGCATATCTTTGAGTGTGTGACAGTGTATGTCAATATGCCTCATTCCACAGCTCGTCCTTTTCTGATAATTTTTGTTTTATTCAGAGAATTGTGTGGAGTTTGGCTGTACTGATCCAAAATCCATTCATAGCTCATTAGATCAGTGATTTTCAACCTGTGGGTCTCCAGATGTTTTGGCCTTCAACTCCCAGAAATCCTAACATCTGGTAAACTGGCTGGGATTTCTGGGAGGTGTAGGCCAAAATACCTGGGGACCCACAGGTCGAGAACCACTGCATTAGATATGTCTTTTGCTGCAGCATATGGTTCTCGCAACAATAAATGTATTGTCACTTTTTATTGGTTGGTATCTCTTGGTGCTGTTTTTTTTACCCCTTTGAAGCCTATCTCATCCATGTAGAATTTAGCAGGGAAAGGGGACAACGAGGAACAGTTTGGTCAATCTTAAATTTCATGATACAGTAGACAGTCCTAAATACTTTTCATTCAGATTCTTTTGAGTTGCCAGCCCTTGCTATATAAGGCAGTGGTTCTCAACCTGTGGGTCCTCAGATGTTTTGGCCCACAACTCCCAAAAATCCCAGCTAGTTTACCAGCTGTTAGGATTTCTGGGAGTTGAAGGCCAAAACATCTGGGGACCCACAGGTCGAGAACCACTGCTATAAGGGCTCATTTGTGTTCCTGTGTCCCATCAAAGGGGAAGAGGAACAGCCAAGAAATATTATATACACTGCAATTAGTATTGGACCACACAAGCCCTTTATGATTTTGTTGTTTGTTTGTTTTTATTTTATTTTCCTGTGATATATCCTGGAGGTAAAAATAACCGCCTTCTGGATGGAAATAAAAAGCTGATACTGGGAATTGCCACTGAATGCTCTGGGACAGCAGAAATACCTGGTTATTTAAAATTTGTTCCCCCAAAATTACAGCAACAGCAGACAACAACATCATTTAGTCTGTTTTTATTTGTTCATAACTCGTTTAAGTAGAAAAGATTGCAGCTGCAAAAATTTTGGTTGGTTTGGTGGATTGTTCTACCTCTGTAAAAGGTGGAACTTGTAGACTTGTTATCTGTGATGTGTATCTATATTTATTGTTTATTTGAGTGAGTATGCTGTATTAAAATTTAAAAACCCATGAAGTCAGATGGATGAATGGATGTCAGCCTTCAGGCCTTGCAGTTGATCTAGACATTCCCAAAGGTTTTCACATTGTTCTCCCTGAAGGACATGCTAATAATTTCTGTCTTGATTGTATCTGCCCATTATATTTTGAATAAAACACATTTTTACATAACCAGAGACTTTCTCTCTTTTTAACATTAGAATCAAAGGACGATGTCATTTTTGGAACTCATTTTGCTGGGCCAATGCTTTATTGTGCACTGGGACACAGTTCTTTGGTCTCCTCTGCTCCTTGGTCCTCTTCTTGCTTTTCCACTGGCAGTTGAAACAGACTGCTGGCCACTCCCTTTTCCCACCAGCTACAAAACATGGGAGTGAAATATAAAAAAGGAAAGAGATGAGCAGAAGGAACAGTGAAATGCCGCAGAGATCACAAGAGAGTCTAGTAATGAGGGAAATGCTTCTGTTTATAGAAAACAAATCTTAGCCACTAGGTCTTTTTTAAGAAAATGGCTGAAGTGGACCACACTACTTGCTGGGGGCACATATGACTTAAGAGATAAACATTGGGTTGGAAATCACTGCATATAGTAAACATGCTAAGGATGGAAACCTCCTGCTTTGCTTTCAGTGTTCTATGTGGAAAGACATTTGTATGGAAGATATTAGCCCCAAACAGCAATTTTTAGGAGTTGCTGACCAGAAATAGACCAGAGAGTGTAATAATAGCAATGTTGTTTCTATAAGCTGCATTTCAGGAGCTGTTTGAGCATAATTTAATATGTAATTTCAGTTTCCAAGAAAAACAAGCTGGACACTATGAGCACTTCCAAATTACGTTTTTATTGTGTGATCACCATGAACTGTAGCATTTTACAAGAGTTTTCTACAATGTCCTTAAGTGACCCTTAACAAGAAAAAATCGATTGCATTCATAATGTGTAAAAATTTACAGTCCAGAATTTACTTTTTTGAAGGTGGTGTTGGCATTAGTTATTTCCCTGTCTCTGAGGGAAAGGGTAGTATTATAACATCATAACTGACTCTCTTCCTGTCATCCTGCAACAATGCATCTTCTGTCATAAGCATGGACTGGAAATAGTCACTTTGTAAGCAACCTTTCCAATGCTGTGCCAATATATTTGTGTGTTAAGTGCTAGCTGTATGTACCCCCAATCCTTATTTTGTTTCCATCCCAACAACCCAAGCAAAATTTAATTTTAAAAAGGTGGCAAAGTGCTAAATCCGCAAGCACTGGCGTTGACTAACATAGTTATGGAACATCATTAGTTACAAATGTAGCAATGCAAATTCTTTTATTTATGTAAGAGTTACAATTTTTATCTGTGTAGCAATTCAAATTCCTAAATGGACTAGCAAATGACTAACACAGTCAGTTACCTTCTCATGTGCCAGTGAAACAGAAACCATGGTTCCTTGCAAGCATTTCATAGGGGTTTCCAACTTCATGAAATGTGAGGTTTTTAATTTGTTTCTGATGCCACTACTTCCGCTTATGTCGCTGTACTATAGCAAATACATTTCTTCATGATTTCCCAAGTTGATGTATAATAAAAATTACCCTATAATGAATACTAAGACTCTATAATGAGAGTAATGTATTTTATTATGAATTATGATTTCTATGTGAATTGCGATTAATACATTTTGCATTGCAAATACATGAATACATTTAAATGGCAATTACTTAATTATTAGCTGGATTTGCATCAGATTTTATTTCCTAATGCTGATGTTTTTATTATAATGTATTGATAAAATAACCAACATGCATTTATCTGTTTTTAACCACATTTATTTGTATCTTTTGGTCAGTTGTACCTATTACAAATTCTAATCTTCCTACTTCGCTTTAGGCTATGCCTAAAGGTGTTTGGCCAACCAGAAAAATGGCTTACAGTTCCTCGGAAGATGATGTAGGCCAGTGCTTTGATGCAGGCCGGTGTTGCAGACATTTTGAATGTCTTCCATATGTGCACATTTTATATTAGGCTGTGACAGCAAAACTCATAAAAAGTCTTGTAGCACCTGAAATACTTGTTGTGGCATGAGCTTGCGTGGACTAGCCCCCCTTCACCAACTACATTATCTGGATATTATGATCGCTACTATTAATATATGCCACTTACAGCTGTGTTAGTGGGAGAGCTGAAACAGCTCCCAGCCAAAGGCATGGTATTCCATGCTTATTTTGGAAAGCAGAGGAAGTTCCCAGAAAGTTATTAAAGGTTGCCTGCTTGTGTTTCACTTGCAGACCACGAAGCTCCCCAATATCGACTGTCAGCCCCCCTGCAATTCATTGCAATGCTTCCCCGCGGATTCTGCTCCTTTCCCAACCAAGACCCCTGAATCCATACTTCGTCCTGCCAAGAGAGGTAATGCTACTGCTGCTGAAGCACAGGACACACCAGCAACAGTCTGGCCAAGTGTTTCTGCACAGATTCATCTCAGTTCTTTTTTTGGCATATCAAGAGGGGCCTTCTATTAGGTAACTGCTATTGGGGAAAGCTGGCTCAAAGTTCCCCTTCCAGCTTAACTGTTTGAAAACAGCTGAATGCAACAAGCAGTAGCATCGTGTCCCCTGGCTCCTAGTTCTCTGAACATTGAGACAAGCTTAATTTAAGAAGTTAAAAATAACCAGACGTGTAAGAATAAATCTCTGTTGTTTTTGGCCACATGCCTTCTGTGATAAAACCATCCAGGATAAATAGGAAAGAATGATTCATTAGCATTCTGTTTTCTACAGGGGATTAAAAAATCAGAGGCTGAATCAGCATCTGACATACTAATGTACTGGGAAGAAAAATGGTGACAATATATTTAATGCAGTGTATTTATTTATTTTACTTATGCCCTGTCTTGCTGCCAGCATGGGACCCAATGCATCTTGGAATAAGGTTAAAACATGGCTGAGCTAAAAAAATAAACCTTACTAAATTAAAATAAGCTGTCACATTAAAACAGTTAATTTACAGGTACAAAATAATGGAAAAACATTTGCCTCAGTGGGAAGGTACCGCCTTGGTGGCAGGGTAAATGGTACCTCATGCAGTCATGCTGGCCACACGACCTAGGAGGTGTCTACAGACAACATAGGCTCCTTGGCTTGGAAATGAAGATAAATGAACACCTCCTCCAGAGCCGGAGATGAAAGGGGAAGCCTTTGCCTTTGTCTGTGTATTTGTGTTTCGTTGTTTCAAAACATTGCATTGTTTGCCTGTGCCTGTATAAAGGCTGGAATCCACTCTGAGTCCCCTCTGGAAGATATGGCAGAAAATAAATAAATAAATACTATTGCTCATCCAGCTGTAGTATTCTGGACACATGGAGATACATGTTGGTGTGCAGTTGGCATCAAAAGACATCAGTTGCTACTACAGTGTAAATGATTTGTGAAATATGGATAGGAATATGCATCCAAATGAACATTGGAAAAATGCACAGAAAACTGTTTATGCACATTGATATCTCTAGCATTTAAGTTTCTATCTTCAGTTTTGTTCCCCAGATGTCCTTCTGTCTTTGCTCCCAATATCTGTAACCCTATTCGCATCACACATGCACAGTTCGTCATTTTCTGGTATGTTACTTCTTAGCCCTGAGGTCTACAAAGTGTTTGGGCCAATAAGTACATTTAAAAGTCTAGAAAACTTTTGTGGATACTGCTACAAACTGGCTGCCATGTTTTATTGACAAAACAGGAGCTATAGCAGTGGTTCTTAACCTGTGGGTTCCCAGATGTTTTGGTCTTCAACTCCCATAAATCCTAACAGCTTTTAAACTGGCTGGGATTTCTGGGAGTTGTAGGCCAAAACACCTGGGGACCCACAGGTTGGGAACAATTGTGCTAGAGGGATCTGACTGCTAACAAAATACAAGTTGTTGAAGGCTTTCATTGCTGGAATTCCTGGGGTATTGTGTAGTTTCCAGGCTGTGGCTGGAAATCCCATTTCTCCATTGGTGCACCTTTCAAGACGTAATGGATAGCTACTTCCACTATGTTCACAAATGTACAAATGCTAGCATAACTAGGGGCTAAACTAGAGTATTGTCACTAACAAGATTCTAGTTTCTATTTAACTGCTGCCATCACAGTCTACTTACATCAGCTCTCCCCATTTGCTGGGATAAAAGGCTCAGGACCCCTGCAAAAGCAGAAAAAAATAAAAATAATAAAAACACTTTTTAAACCTAATAGCTCTTTAGGAATTTCTAGACTCCCCAGAGTGGTTCTGTGGTCACCTTTGGCCAGAAATTTGCCATGGAGTCACATTATGGGACCCACAAGTACCTAGAGAAGTATTGTCTCTAGAAATCTCTAGGACCTCCAGCACAACTCCATGGTCAACTCCCGGCAGTGTCATGCTGGATGACCTAGAGATTCTTAGAGAGAACACTTCTTACTAAAGTGAAATTCTCAAATATGGAGGACCAACTAACTATCTGAACCAATATAATTGTCCACTCAGATTTATTTTCCCATATATAATCTTCACAGAAACCCTGCTTCCTTTGTGGCTCATAGCTCTTGTTCTGCCTTCCTTTTTTGTTGCAATGCACTCCCACTCTGTTCAGCTAATATAGATGGCTAACATCCTGCTACTCTAACTGTTATGTAAGATTTATTAGTCAGATGACATTGCAACCCAGACATGTGTTGTTTCTTCAGCAACACTAATGAGAACAGTATTATGAAAACATTACCGTATGAATTGACAAAGCAACTTCCTTTTTGCGTAAACACGACTAGAACCTTTGTGGTGTAGCTGCACTTTTCTCTTACAAATGACAAGAAGGGCCTCAAATAGAAAAGGAAGTGAATCTATGGAAGATCCATGGCTGAGACACATGCGGTTGGCAGGCTGTGGTGGCTTCCACTTATACCCACCTCTGCCACTAGTGTGAACACCATCCTCCTGTCCCTCTGCTGTGGACACCAATTGTGGGGATTTCTTAGGCCCCTTCTACACTGACATATCATCCAGATTATCAAAGCAGACAAACCACATTCTCTGCTTTGAACTGCATTACTGTATATACTTGAGAGTATAAGCTGAGTTTTTCAGCCCTTTTTTAAGGCTCAAAAATCCCCCCCATGGCTTATACTTGAGTCAAGGTTATTTATTATTTTATTCCGTTATTATTATCATTTTTGTTACATGTATTATTTTACTCTATTTATCATTGTTATAACATTTATTATTTTACTCAATTGTTACATTTGTTATTTTACTTATTATTACTGTTGTTACATTTCCAATATTTTACTCTAATATTATTCATTACTTTGATTGCCTCAATTAATGTAATTTTATTGGTATCTATTTTTCTTTTGAAATTTACCAGTGGCTGCTGCATTTCCCACCCCTGGCTTATACTCGAGTTAATAAGTTTTCCCAGTTCTTTGTGTTAAAATTAAGTGCTTATATTTGGTCGGCTTATACTTGAGTATATATAGTATATGAGTCTACACTGCTGTATAATCCAATTCAAAGCAGATAATCTGGAATTTATATGGAAGAGTAAAGGGTCCCTAGATGCCCCTATGGTTCCTAGGTGGGACTTTATACATCTGTGCCCCCACAGACACCACCACACTTCAATCATTGCTGCCACCAGCGACAATGTGTGTCCAAACATAAGCTTTCTAGTATCCCCTATATAGTGCTTTCAGAGGCAGAAGAGTACAATGGAAATATGATTTATAAAATAGAAATTGAACACGTCGTAATAGATTCATATTTAATATATCTAAATCCTGACTCGCTTTCATTCTTACTGTGCAAGACCCAACACCCTCCATCCTCTCTCTCTTTCTCTCTCACACACACATTCTAGATAACATTAAGCCTCATTCTAACTCTCCTCTATCTCTGACTTTGACTAAGAGCAGTTCCATGCAAGCATTACAGAGCAGTCACGTTTTAATATTTGAAAGGATGCCAAATGGATGATGGAGCCAGATTGCTTTCTGCTGCTTCAGGGACTAGGGGTACATTTATACTGTAGAATTACTGCAGTTGGACTCCATTTTAACAGCCATGGCCCAATGCTATGAAATCCTGGGAGCTGTAGTTTGGTGAGGCACCAACAGTCTTTGGTAGAGAAATCTAAAGACCTTGTAAAACTACAGCTCCTAGGATTGCATACCATTGAGTTATTTCAGTTAAAGTGGTGTTATTTTGCTTTAATTCTACACGTTAGGGTATGAATTCTAACTACAGAAAAAGAAATTCCACCTAACACTTGTGGTAAGAGTTGTTCGACAATGGAATATGCTGTGTTAGAGTGTGATGGAGTCTCCTTTTCTGGAAGCTTTCAACAGAAGCTGGATGACCATCTGTCAGGAGTGTTCCTGTATGGAAGAATGTAGTGGCCTTTACAGTCTCCTAACTCTATGTTTCTATCAGATAGGATCTGGTGGCTTCAGGGTATTTAGACAGCCCTTTTATCATGTGTGTGTGTATATATGTATGTAAGTAAGTAAGTGTGTGCATGCGTATATATGTATGTGTGTGTGTCTATCTATCTTTGGATAGCATGGAAAGGGTTAATACCCCTGTGGTATTTGTTTTGCTGTCTGTGTTTTGCTGTCTGTGGAAACAAGAAAGGGTGATAAAGCTTCAGTGGAGAAAAGAAAATCAGTTTTTATACATTCTTTTTCTTTCCATAGGCTGAAACACAGATTTCACTGTCTTCAAAGAGAACTTCAGCATCCCTGAGGACTGAGCGTCTAGCCCAGCCAGTAGTGAAGAAGTATTCAGTGTGCTATGATAACAGATGTGTGGAAGCTCCAATCCGCAGAGTAATTCTATGACTTCAGTTCTTTGGGTTTTGGAGAGATTCTTTAATATCAAGATTATTCAAGAGAGCATTTTCAGGCACATGTTTTTATTTCACTTATAAATAGAATAGATAAAGCTCTCGGTGAGTTGATATGTGAGGGCATTCATTCTCCTGAAGGCAAAATCTATCTGAAATCCAGAGAGGAAACATTGAGAAATGTGAGAGACCAGCATCCTGCTGGGCTTCAGGATGGGGAAACGGTATGCTTTGGCAGGAAGTCTAAGGTTGGACCCACACTGCCATATACAACCCAGATTATCTGATTTGAACTGGATTATATGGCAGTGTAAAATCAAATAATCCAGTTCGAAGAAGATAATGTGGATTATTTGCTTTAATCATCTGGAATATATGGCAGTGTAGATCCAGACTACGGCCCTATCTAAACTTACTTTATAAAATCCAGATTATCTGCTTTGAACTGGTTTATATGGCAGTGTAGACTGATATAATCCAGTTCAAAGCTGATAATGTGGTTTATATGGCAGTGTAGATCCAGTCTAAGAGTCAAGGAAGAGGCATGGAGGAGGAAGAGTCATTTCACTTGTGCTGCTTCAGTGCTCTCAGCCTCTACTGTTCAAACATAATGTCTTTATGGGACAGTCCTTCACTAGCCTCCTTGAGAAACACAGAGTAATACAAGATCACACAGACATTACAAAGGTCTGACTGCTAATGTGAGACTGCCTGTCCATCGCATTCTTTGGTCACACAGTGTCACACACATCTCTTGAAGGAAGAAAATCTGGATATATTTGTAGATGTTTATGTCTTTGGTAGGGGCCAAGGTGGTGCAGCGGGTTAAACCGCTAAGCTGCAGAACTTGCTGACCGGAAGGTCGGCGGTTCAAATCCACAAAGTAAGCTCCTGTTGTTAGTCCCAGCTTCTGCCAAGCTAGCAATTCGAAAACATGCAAATGTGAGTAGATCAATAAGGTACTGCTTCGGCGGGAAGGTAACTTTGCGCCTTGCAGTCATACTGGCCACATGACCTAGGAGGTGTCTATGGACAACTCTGGCTCTTCAGCTTAGAAATGGAGATGAGCACCACCCCCCAGAGCCAAACTTGACTAGACTTAATGTCAAGTCAAGACTTGACTAGACTTAATGTCAAGACTTGACTAGACTTAATGTCAAGGGGAAACCTTTACCTTTACTTATATCTTTGGGAAACTTTAGCCACTGCCTTATTTTTAGGGTTCTTATTTGCACAGGACAAGTAACAGAGATCCCATAATTCCTTGTGGTAAACTGCATAGTGTTTTAACTTTCTTGGAAATGCACTGTGTGGAATCCCATGCTTGTTGTTCCTTAATTTTTTTTCCTGCTTCCTTCTGTAGGTGAACCCAGCTGCCCTGCAAGCCGTGGCAAGTCCAAGGGTAGTAGAGCTTGCTAAAGCTAAAACTCTCCCTCCTGAATGTTCCCCAGATCGTTCCGCTATGTGGCCCGTGTCATCGGCAGCAAAAAATGCGGTGGCGACGTCTAGACTCGAGGAACTTGCTCTGCCTCCTAAAAGGTGGGGTTTTCTGTGATGACTATATTGACACCATCTATTTGCAGACAGGCTCTGAGTGCTCCTTAAATGGAGTTTTGGCAAAAAGGAGTGTGGTTTATACTGGTAGGACCCAAAAACCTTATGGGTGTTAGTTTTGATTTTGCTGTGAAGGTAATTGTTTAGACTAACCACTGTTTTCCTCCTCTTTGCACTTGCAGGGCTCCCACCTTCCTTGTCCAGTTTGATCCAGATGCCTTTGTAGTCAAGGATGCGGCTAAGAATGCGTTGTGTTCGGAAAGGCTCAAGCAATTATCACAGCCAGTTAAGCGCTGACTACTCTACCCATACTACCTAATTTGAAGTAAATTAGGAGGAGTGTGCTTATCTTCTTGGCTTTTTAAAAAAATCATTTGTGTTCAACAAGTAGGATCCTGCCATTTTGTGGGGTAGATAAAGGGCTTGTCTTCATCTATCCTTTGCCCCAAAGTAGACTAGACATTGAGTCTGGATGTCCAGATTAAGCCATTTTTGCCCTATGTTGAACCAAGTCAGGGCAATCTTCTCTGGAGATTTGCTGAAACTCTGGAGCAGCCCTACACTTCAGGTTGAGTGTCGACAACACAACCACTCCATTCTACCCCTCTATTCAGACCACACCTGGAATACTGTGTCCAGTTCTGGGAAGCGTAGTTTAAGGGAGATATTGACAAGCTGGATTGTGTGCAGAGAAGGGCGACAAAATGATCAAGGGTCTAGAGAAGAAGCCCTATGAGGAGCGGCTTAAAGAGCTGGGCATGTTTAGCCTGCAGAAGAGAAGGCTGAGAGGAGACATGATAGACATGTACAAATATGTGAGAGGAAGTCATAGGGAGGATGGAAGCAAGCTTGTTTCGTTCTGCCCTGGAGACTAGAACATGGAACAATAGGTTCAAACTACAGGAAAGGGGATTCCACCTGAACATGAGGAAGAACTTCCCGACTGTGAGAGTTATTCAGCAGGCCGTTGGATGTGCTTTGAATGCGATTTTCCTGATTCTTGGCAGGGGGTTGGACTGGATAGTCCACAGGGTCTCTTCCAAGTCTATGAGTCTATGATTCTATGATCTGCTCCAGGGTCCATAAGATCAGGCTTGTGTCATTCCCTATTGCTACAGCAAATGGCCACAGAACTTTGGAGGGTTCCTGGCTGTCATCAGTTGCTTTTACTGATCCCTTCCCTCCTTCTGGGTTCCAAAGGTGTCCAGCAATGACCAGGAGGTCTTCTGGGTTTTGTGGCCATCAAGCAGTAGCAATGGGGAGGAAAGATAAGGTGGCAAACTGTTCAGTGAGGCCAAACCCATTGGATGGCCTGAACACCACCCTGCTCCTGTTGTGGGACAGACCTTCAGGGTTCGTTAGTCCAAGACTGATCCCAAATTATGAGCTATATGTAGATGAGCCATAAGAGGCATTCATTTTTTTCCAGGAAGCCATGGTGGCGCAAGGGTTTAAACCCTTGTGCCGGCGGAACTGCTGACCTGAAGGTCGTCAGTTCGAATTTGCGATACGGGGTGAGCTTCTTTCTGTCAGTTCCAACTCCCCATGTGAGGACATGAGAGAAGCCTCCCACAGGATGGTAAAACATCTGGGTATCCCCTGGGCAACATCTTTGAAGATAGCCAATTCTCTCACACCAGAAGTGACTTGCAGTTTCTCAAGTTGCTTCTGACATGAAAAAAATTGCTCACAGTGGAAATATTTATTTATTATTGTAAACAGTTCTGGGCAACTGTGTCTGATTATTGGAACGGAGGGATTCAATTATAACTCTAAACCCCTCTAGTTCTCCAAGGCTTGTAACGTTGCTGGAGCTGTATAAAAGATAGCCCAGACTGGTTCTCTGTTACTTCAGAGACAGAGCTAGAACCAGGGAGTAGAAATGGTGGAGAAACACATTTAAGCCACAGATCAGGAAACAAAATATATTGCAATAATAAGAGCTGTTCAGCAGTACATAAAGCCTTGTCTTGGGAGGCATTGAAGCAGAGGCCGGATGACTATCTGTAAGGTTGGCTGCATGTACAAACTGTGTGCAAACCAGGCATTGTGGATCATACATTTAACAGAGTGTTGAAATAGATTACCTCCAAGTTATCTTCCTATTATTCTATGATCCTGCAATAGCACTTTGGAATTCAAAGGTACCCTTTAAAATGTTATATAAATTATTTATAACAGCTTCCTGAAGTCTAAATGGACTTCAGCTGGCCAGCTTTATCCTGATTAAGAACTCATATTTCTCTGCCAACCAACATGTTTTTTTTAATAAACCATTATAATTTTAATATAAAATGCCTCCTTCACCAAATATGTTGCTATCATCCTCTTTTTTTTAAAAAAAGAAGAACAATGTAGTAGTAATGTATTATGTGGAAGAGACCATCAAGGTAGGAAGAAAAAAGCCACCAAGGTGGGATGGAGTGACTAGAGGTTAGGGTTAGGGTTACGGTTCCTTCCTTTCATTAAATCTGTTGGAAGAATTTCTCACTTATCTCAGGTTTATTTATTTATCATGTCAGAAGTGAATTGAGAATACAGTTACAATGCCTAAAAAAACCTTTTAAAAACACAAACAAAGTTAAAAACTTGGCACTGTATTAAATTTCCTTTGACCAGAAGCTAGCCGCTTGGAGTGCCTCTGGTGTGGCTGTAAGAAGGTCCTCCATTGTGCATGTAGCAGGGCTCAGGCTGCATTGTAGTAAGTGATGTGTGGTTTGCTCTTCTGCACACTCGCATGTCGTGGACTCCACTTTGAGGCCCCATTTCATAAGATTGGCTACATTTCCTGGTGCCAGAGCGCAGTCTATTCAGTGCCTTCCAAGTCACCTAGTCTTGTGTGCCCAGGAGGGAGTCTCCCATCCAGTATCAGCCATAGATTGAGGTTCTGGGTTTTAGCCTGCCACTTGTGGACTCTCACTTGCTGAGGTATTCCTGTGAGTATCTCTGTAGATCTTAGGAAGCAATTTCTTCATTTAATGCGTTGACTTGTTGGCTGATATCCGAACAGGGAATGGGCCAGAGATGTCACTGCCATGGTCCTTTCATTATTATATTCTGCTTCCTGTCAGATGTCAGGTAGTGCAATAACAGCTAAACAGTATAATTTCTCCAATGGTGTAGGTCATAGGCACCCTGTGATAATGCGGTGTCTCATTTTCATAATGCATTCAACACTTAAATAAAATGGAACAGATATGCAATTGCATCTAAGCCTTCTGGCTGAATGGTCCCTGCATAAGTATGTGTGTGGTACTTATGTGTCAGTGAAATATGCTATCCGTATATAGAGTCCCTTATTATGTGTGACACTGTTGCATTCATTTATTGGTACTTGTGTGTGCAGGATTGTCCATAGTGATATGTTTCCACAATGTACGTATCATATTTATGTCTGTGGTGCTCATGTAGGGGCTGCTGTGGTGCAACGGGTTGAATCGCTGAGCTACTGAACTTGCTAACTGGAAGGTTGACATTTTGACATTTTGAATCTGCAGGACGGGGTGAGCTCCTGCTGTTAGCCCCAGCTCCTGCCAACCTAGCAGTTCAAAAACATGCAAATGTGAGTAGATCAATAGGTACTGCGTTGGCGGGAAGATAAACAGCCACATGACTTAGGAGGTGCCTACGGACAACGTAAGCTCTTTGCCTTAGAAATGGAGACGAGCACCACCCCTCAGAGCCGGAAGGGGAAGTCTTTACCTTTATCAGTCTATCTGTGTTTTGTTGTTTCTAGGCACTGAATATTTGCCTTTGTGTCTGTGCTTGGTGGAATCCAACCTGAGTCCCCTCAGGGAGATAGGGTGGAATACAAATAAAGTATTTAAATTATTATTATTATTATTATTATTATTATTATTATTATTATTATTATTTAAAACGCTTGTGATTGTGCGGAACAGTCGTGCTGTGCTCCTCCTGTATATATGTGTATCTATGGTATTTATTCTCAGATTTTCATTAAATTTTATGTCAGGTTTGAAATATTTTTATTTCCATAACATTGGTGGTAGAGTTGTAGAGTTGCTGTTCATGTGATTTGGTTACATTGACTCTTTTTGCATATCTTTTTCCTGGATGTGATTCCTTGATTATATGAAAATGCAATGGCATGCAGGGGTTAACATTCAAATTCTAACTAAAATCTCTTGACAAATATGGAAAACAGAACAATGTCCTGTAGATTGGAAACATCCCAATTGCTAAGAAATGGAACACTAGGAATTTTAGTAACCACTGGACCATTGCAAACAAAATGATGCTAAAAATTCTACAATGAAGATTTTACCATATTTGGAGCAAGAAATACCAGATGTCCAAACTGGGATTTGGAAAGGAAGATAATCTTGCAAACATACATTGTATAATAGCATGAAACAAATAATTTCAGAATAAACTGATTTGTGCTGTATGGATTATAGCAAAACTTTTGATTGTATAAATAACAGAAAACTATAGATTGCTCTTAAAGAAATAGGTATGCTACAGCATTTGCTTATCCTAATATGTGACCTTTACTCAAGAAAAGATGTCATGGCTATGACAGAATATGGAAATTTTGGGTCAGATAAGGCTGCATTATATCAAAATCCTATCGTCTTAGCTTGTATGGTCAATGTATTATATGCAAAGCAAGATTAGACTCAAGCTGGGGTGGGGGTGGTATGAAAATTGGAGGAAGGAACAACAATTTAAGATATGCAGATGATGTCATTCTGCTAGAAGAAAATAGCAAAAACTTGGAACAACTACTGAATAAAGCCAAGGAAGAAAATACAAAAAGCATGGCTATATTTGAGCGTTAAGGAAACAAAAGTAATGGCCACAGATGATGTACATAACCTCACAGTACACAGTGAAGAGATTGAAATAGCTCAAAAATTTCCATACCTGGTTCAGTCATTAATCAGAATTGAAGATTGCAGTCAAGAAAGGACACCAGGGTAGGAATGAAGGAACTGGACAACTATACCATTAAGTACAAAATCAGGAGTGTCCATGCCATTATATTTCCTATTTTTATGTACAGTATGGTTGTAAAAGCTAGACAATGAAGAAAGATGACGAGAAGAAAATCAACATATTTCAAATGTCCTGGTAACAAATAAATAGGTCTTAGAGCAAACCAAGAGAACCTCTGAAAGTGCCAATCACAGATTCAGGTGAAACATCAGGAAGGAATGCTGCTGGAACATGGCCATATAGCCTGAAAAACTCACAGCAGTCCACTGAAAGTCATACTTCGGACATATCATGAAAAGACTCTCACTCAGAAATGAAATGATGCTTGACATGGTAAAAAGTAGTAGGAAAATAGGAAGGCCATATAACAGTTGACTGGATTGAAATTAATGAAGCCACAGCCTTGATTTGGCAAGACCTACTGTGACCCTATATCCCAGTTATACGGTCACAGTATGCCCAAGTTGACATGATATAGTTAATAATAATAGATAGAACTGACAAATCAATGACACGCTTCTTCAGTTTTCATAAACATAGGATTTTATTAATATGTGCCAGGAAATATTCCTATTGCTGTAATGGGAAAACCAATGAAAATACAGTGACTGTATCAGCATGCACAAATGATCATGTAGTTATGTTGATGCTCAATAAAATATAGGCATGTTCCAGTCCTTGGGGGTAGCATTGATATGCATGCTTGAATGCCAGGGATAGGTGGTACTCCAAGATCTCTTAATAATACATTGCTTACCCAACTGGCCTAGGAATCTGAGTAGAGAGGAAGAGGAGGAGAAACTGGCTGCCTTGGATCCAAACATTACTGAATGCACTTGGCATGTTCTAGCAATGCAGGTGTCTGTATAGGGCAGGGGTCCTCAAACTTTTTAAACAGAGGGCCAGGTCACAGTCCCTCAAACTTTTGGAGGGCCAGATTATAATTTGAAAAAACAAAACATGAATGAATTCCTATGAACACTGCACATATCTTATTTGTAGTGCAAAAAAAAAAGCACTTTTAAAACAATACAATAATTAAAATGAAGAACAATTTTAACAAATATACTCTTATTAGTATTTCAATGGAAAATGTGGGCTAATGAGATAAGATTGTTGTTGTGTGCTTTCAACTCGTTTGAGACTTAGCTTGACGCTGAGTGAGGGCCAGGTAAATGACCTTGGAGGGCCATATCTGGCCCTCGGGCCTTAGTTTGAGGACCCCTGGTATAGGGTCTGACTGCAAGCAGCCTGCACAGGATGCTCACAGTGCCAGATGGGGCGTGATGTAAAAATTATTTTCTTTCGGATTTGTACTCTGGTTGGAAGTTGCAATGGCACCAAGTACACTTCTTACATTCACAGGTTCAGGGAACTGAGTTTTTCTTGTTTGGGGACATTGCCAGCTCATCTCCTGGAGAACTTCTTACTTGCATGTATGAAGATCCCCATACCCAAAAACTGGGCCAAATCATGCCACAGCCCTTTGTTTCTCATATTATAAACAATTGCAATTGCTCCCTTGTACTGATTTTGCTTTTGAAAATGTGGGGCATAATATATAAGTAGTTATGCATGTATTTATTCAATCCGCTCATGTATATTAGTTCTGCCAGGCATGAAAGGAAATGTCATTAACATCACCTCCATATGACTACTGAAGTAGCTGCAGTCAGATTGGTAGCTTTATGTTCTGTAAGAGAATACCTCAACCGGTACATAAACTTTTGCACAATTATTCCTCACGCACCAGTTATATACATTTTAAATAAGGCAGCTGGTTAAATAACAGGCGAAGAATGAGTTCTGATAGTAATGTGGTGGTACACAGTGAAAGAAATCACTGTGCAGTCAGTTTTCCCAGGATTGTATCTAGAAGGAAAGTTCCACTCAGTCTCTGACAGACCCGCTTTCGGAAGGGAGCCCTTCGGATTTCCGCCATTCAGCCAAGCGCTTCTTGAACCATCTCTGGAATGACAGAAATAGACAAATCGAGACACTTGTCACAATGAAGACATAATGATAAAAGGCTACTTAATGATGAGCTTCTGAGAATGCAGTATGAGCTAGGAAAGGACAATGTGGCAGAATGATGGGGTAGACTATGATTGGGGCATTTGTGCACAAGGAAAAGTGAGAGTACAGTCAGCCTTTCATGTTTGCTAGGGTTAAGGGCACAGGGCCTCTGCAAATGTGGAAAAAACTTTTTTTTTATTTGAGGGAACACCTTTTTAGTTATCTCTACATTCTCCAGCAGAACTCAGTGATCAACTTCCACTGGAAGGTGACCATAGCGTCACACTGGAGGACTTACTAATGCCTAGAGAAGTGTTCTCTCTAGAAATCCTTAGGCCCTCTAGCACAATTCCGTGACAGAAATTAACCCTAGAGTTATGTTAGAAGACCGAGGGATTCCTAGAGCAGTGGTTCCCAACTTGTAGTCTGTGGACCACCAGTGGTCCCCAAGAACTAAAATGTGATCCGTGGCCACACCGTTACTACACCATTGCAACAAGAGCGACTGGTCTTGCGAAACCCACTTATAGTGCCGAGGCTTATTAAATATGGTTTTTTTGTTGGCAAGCAGATGACAACTACTGGATGGCATATGTTCTGTATCAGAAACTAGATCTGATGTGGTCTATCCAATGCAATTTTTGGAATCAGCATCCCAAATGACCAAATCAAATCTAAAGTTGATCAAAACCTGATTTGTAACCCTTTTGGTACTAATGTTGGAGAGTGGTCCCTGGTCAAAGTGGTCCCTGGTGGAGTGGCCCCTGGTCAAAATGTTCCCTGGTCAAAGTGGCCCCTGGTAAAAAAAAAAGGTTGGGAACAACTGTCCTAGAGGGATTGTATTAATCAAATTTGCGAATAACCGAATCCACAAAAGTGAAACCCACAAATGTAGAGAGCTGAACTCCATACTAGAGGTGGACTCAATTACATTTTTGGACACCCATTACTAAGAAGAAAAAGCAAAGCTCCAGCAAGTACATAAAAAAAAACATATAAAAGGAAAGACCTTCACAAATCCACAAATGACTTTTCTGTGTGCAAAAGGGAGGGGAGATGGCTTTTTGGATATAAGGGATCTTTCACAACAGGAAGGCCCACTTGTTGCAGCTTAAAGTGGTTCAGTCTGTCCTGCCACTTCATTGCATTCTTACATCATTCCACGTGGGTCCTCACTTGTGGTTTAGCCTACAACTCCCAGAAACCCCAGTCAGTTTACCAGCTGTTGGGGTTTCTGGGAGTTAAAGGCCAAAACATCTGAGAACCCACAGGTTGAGAACCACTGCCTTAGGAGATGGCAAGAAAGCAGTCTTTTAAAAGGCCCTTCTCCTATCTGACCCCAAGGGGTTGAGAATCTTGAGCTGAAAGGAAAGCATCAATAAAGATCGCCAACCTGTGTCTGAACAGAAGTACATTGAAGGGATACAATTCCTGGTGGGGAATATATTTTAGCCTATTTATTGAAATATTTAAATCCCACCCTTTACCATGAAATGTTGTGGTGTCCAAATGAAACAACATAAGCAATTCCAGATTAAAAACATTAAATCATCTAAACAGGATAAACACATTTGAAAACAAGTCCAAACAGCTCAAAAGACTTTTAAACCAGGGCTTTTATGTTTCAGAGATAAAAAAAATATATGGATCTATCTCATATAATTAAAAAGTTGACCTACAAGTGACTATCCTTTTTTCTCCACAAAAGCTGTTGTGGGAAGGAGAGCATGATCCAACTCAGACCTTTAAAAAAAGATCCTTTCCCCACCCAAGAAGCTGTGACTTTCTTTAGAGAAGCCTGCCAAAAGCAGAGGGCAAGCTTGCGAAGAAATTCTGAACTTGGTTTCCAGTAAGACATCCGGGCTGTTATTCTTGCAATAATCAGCAGATAAAGCAACAGCAGACATGTACTTAATATAGGGAAAGGAAAACTCTTCAAGCAAAGATAAACACTATGCTGGATTATCAGCAAAAATGCAGAACTAAAATATGTACATTAACTTTTTTTTTTTTAGATAATGGGCTTTACTCACAATGCCAAAACGTACAATTTATTTTTGGATTTGGCTGATGGAAGCCCCTTCTACACTACCATATAATCCAGATTATGAAAGCAGATCGTCTGCATTATCTTCTTTGAACTGGATTATATAAGTCTACATTGCCATATAATCCAGTTCAGATCAGATAATCTGGATTTTATATGGCAGTGTAGAAAAGACCTGAGGAACGTCTGAAGGAGGTGACTCAAAGGAAGGTGCTAGTTTCCTTGATAAAGAAACCTGGTTTGGGTGCATCCTTTTAATTTTCACTCACCTCCTGGCCTAATGATTTGCCTATATCTTAAAATCCTCCCCATCATGGAGAATCCTCCTCACTCATTTACCTATCCATCACTTTTAATTGCAGCTGCTGGTAGAAGTATAAAACCTCTAAACTGTGGGGCAGGATGGCAGGGGTGAGAAATTCACCATAGGAAGATCAAATCCTATTAGACTGGGTCTGGGTTATTTTAGATTCTTGGTGCTTGATTCCCCAAACCTCACCATATAACTAGGTAACAAGAAATGCCCACTTAAATTCACTCTTCTGCATAGCCATTAAAAAGACAGGAGCTCTTTCCAGTCCAACCCCCAGGCAGTATGGTATAATGGTTTGAGTGTTGAACCGTGACTCTGGAGACCATGGTTGGCATTCCTGCTCAGCCTTGGAAACCCACTGGACAACCTTAGGCCAATCATCCTCTCTCAGCCTCAGAGAAAGGAGAAAGCAAACCCTCTCTGACCAAGTCTTGCCAAGGAAACCTCACGCTAGGTTCACGCTAAGTTCAGGTTTAACCCATTGTGCCACCGGGGCTCCTCAGTATGGTGGTAAAGAGTGAAGACACTGGAGATGGGGACCATACATTACTCAGGGCAACTATTAGCTGTTAACATTGAGATGGCTGAGTTTTCCTAGAGGCTTTAGGCCTCACTATTTTGTTCTTGTTATGTGCCTTCAAATCGTTTCTGGCCTATGGCAACTTTAAGGTTAACTTATCATAGAGTTGTCTATACAAGATTTGTTCAGAGAGGATCTCCTTCCTCTGAGTCAGAGTATGACTTGCCCAAGATCATCTAGCCCAGTGGTTCCTAACCTTTGGTCCTCCAGGTGTTTTGGGCTTCAGCTCCAACAATTCCAAACAGCTGGTAAGCTGTGTGATTTCTGGGAGTTGGAGTCCAAAACTCCTGGATGTCCAAAAGTTGGGAACCACTGATCTAGTCAGAGTTCCCATGGTTGAGCAAGGCTTTGAACCCTGGTCACCAGAGTCCTAGTCCAGTGCTGAAATCACTACATCATGCTGGTCTCAATGGTATTTTATCCTAAAATGAACAGTATATTTCTTTATTTATTTATCTATTTATTTATTTGTGGTTTTTTTATACCACCCTTCTCAACCCCGAAGAGAACTCAGGGCGGTTCACACTTTCCAAAGATCACTATCAAATCTTTGTTACAACACAATCACATGTCTGACTTGCCCATTGTAATGAAAGGCAAATGCATTATGTACATTCAATGCAAGGAAGAGAGTAGCCGCCTGAATTCAAAAGGAAGTCTATATGACCAGAGGTATGTTCTTACCAGGGTCTCTTCCTCGGTCAGGCCTGCCTCAGCAGCAATAAGGCAAAGGGTAGCAGGGTCAGGGTGCTTGTTCACTTTGTTGAAATTGTACTCCAGGATTTCCACCTGTTCCTCCGTGGGACTGACAGCCTTTTCCGTTGACATCTTATCTCCACAAGTTTGGTGGTGACTGTGAGATGCAGAAAAAGAAATATAGACTCCTGAGTCAGACTCTGTGCCAAGGTTTTGATTCAGCTAAATAGATACTTTTGACCAAAGTCACTTTTTGATGACTTGACAGGTATCAAAACATAACACCCAGTGTTCAGATATAGCATAGCCTCCAATTCCCATGCATTGAACAGGGAAGCTGCAGCTGATCTGCTCTATTTCTGGATTCTCAGCTGCTGGTCTTAGAGAATCCCAATTTCACCCACTTAGCTCCCAGCCGTCCACAGCCTGCAAAGTATGGCAATGATGCTACAGCTGAGTATGTTACACTCAACTAACTCAACAAGGGAGGAAAGGAAGATTTGCCCTTCCTAGCAGGTTTGGCCAAGTCTAGAGGAAGTGGTGCTTGGCCTGCTAGGTGGTTCATCTTGTTTCAGCAAGATTGTGTGACCTTCAGTAAATGGCTCTTTCAATTGGGATAAGCAATATGGCTTTTTGAGCTTTACAAATAAAGTCATCTCAAACTCCAGCCAAGCCTAGGATGTTTAGCATTGGAATCCCATATAAACCACTGAGCTGCTGAACTTGCCGACTGAAAGGTTAGTGGTTCAAATCTGGGGAGTGGGGTGAGCTCCCGCTATTAGGCCCAGCTTATACCAACCTAGCAATTCAAAAACATGCAAATGTGAGTGGATCAATAGGTACCGGTTCTGCAGGAAGATAATAGCACCCCATGCAGTCATGCTGGCCACATGACCTTGGAGGTGTCTATGGACAATGCCGGCTCTTTGGCTTAGGAATGGAAATAAGCACCACCCCCGGAGTCGAACTCAACTAGACTTAATGTCAAGGGGAAGAAAACTTTACCTATATTGGCATAGTTTGGAAATAAAAGTTTCTAAAATGTTTGAGCACTAATGCCTCTCGCTCTCCTGACACTGTTCACAGTCTCTCCCTTCTTCAAAATGCAATTGTCTGAGATGAGCACCACAGGTATGAATTACTACGTGAAGGCTGCTGTGCATCAACTATATCAGCATTTCAGAAACAGCAAAACTGGCACAGGGAAGGGAAGAAAAACTTTCTCAAGGTTAATTTCAAAGAACAAAGCTGAAAATAAAATAAATCGATTATGCTGCCTGTCTTCAGGTCCATCTAAATGTCTGGGCACAATGCTATGTGGCAATTTTTGGGCCTTCAGAGAAAGTGTGACAGAAGAAAACAACCCCATGGAAGCCTTTTATACCCTTGAAAAGTCAAGTCTTTCCACAAACAAAGCACTCGGTGCTATAACAGTGGCAGAAATGGGGTCTTTGTTGTGCTTTCTGGCCCACACCACTCATCATGTCACTATAATGTGGAGAGTGTAGGCCTCACTCCAGGACCCAGGACAGAGGTGCCCATATACTTCCATGCTTTCTTCCTGGATCTGTTGTTATGTCTCTTTAACATCATTTTTCTTTCAGCAAGCATTGCTTTTGGTCTTGATGCCTCACCAAAAAGAAGGGGTGGGAGTGGACTTTGGCAGACCAATATTTGTTTTTGAGGAGAGGACAAGCAAGTAGACTTCGGCTCTTTCTTCTCAACAATCCATACACACTGTGGCCAAAATCCCATATCAGGTTAGGTTTTGATGGTGCTACATGACCCTTGGGTGGAATGGCAACAGTGCAACCCACTGCCACACAGGAAAAGCACAATCAAAGCGCCCCCTGAGAGATGGCCATCTAGCCTCTGTTTAAAAACCTCCAAAGAAGTAGCTTCCCACCACAGAGAATTCCACTGTTGACTGGCATATACACAGTGATAGAATCCTAGAATAATAGAGTTGGAAGAGACCACATGGACCATTTAGTCCAACCCTCTGCTACACAGGAAAAGCACAATCAAAGCATCCCCGACAGATGGCCACCTAGCCTCTGTTTAAAAACCACCAAAGTAGTAGCTTCCCACCACAGAGAGTTCCACTGCCGAATGGCTCTTATGGCCAGAAAGTTCTTCCTAATGTTGAGGTGGATTCTCCTTTCCTGTAATTTGAATCCATCACTCTGAGTTCTAGTTTCCAGGACAGCAGAAAACAGCCTGCTACTTTTTCCTTATGGCATCCTATTAAATATTTATACATGGCTATCATGTCTCCGCCCAACCTTCTTTTCTACAGGCTAAACATACCCAACTCTTTAAGACGCTCCTTATAAGGATTCATGGTCTCCAGAACTTTAATCATTTTTGTTGCCCTCCCCTACATATATCTTGTCAATATCCCTCTTAAATTGTGACGCCCAGAATTGGACACAGTATTCCAGGTGAGATCTGACCAAAGTAGAATGGAAGGACACCATGACAATTGGTTTCCAACCTTTTTTTGACCAGGGACCACTTGACCAGGGACCACTCTCCAATGTTAGTACCAAAAGGGTTACGAATCAGTTTCTGGTCAACTTTAGATTTGGTTTGGTTTTTTTGGGTGCTGATTCTGACCATATCAGCTCTAGTTTCTGATACAGAACATATGCCACCCAGAAGTTGCCATCTGCTCACCCACAGAAAACCATATTTAATACTCTAGAGCCACAGACGTTATTTTAGGTCTCATGGCCCACAGGTTGGGAACCACTGATCTAGACATTATACTTCCTTCAGTGCAGCCCAAAATCTCATTGGCTTCTTTAGCTGCTGCATCACATTGTTGGCTCATGTTCAACTTGATGTTAATTAAGACTCCAAGATCTTTTTCACATGGAAAATTGTTGAGCTAGGCATTCCCCATTCTGTATCTTTGCATTTTGTTTTTTTCTGTCTAAGTATCCTACATTTCTTCTTGTTGAAATTCATTTTGATAGTTTTGGCCCAGATCTCTAATCTGTTGAGGTCATTTTGAAATCTGATCCTGTCTTTTCGAGTGTTAGCCATCTTTCCCAATTGTACCTCATTTGGTTTTCTCTCCATGATTAAATGTAAACATTGTGCACGAAGCAAAAATGGTCAACTGTCTCTGTGTGGAACTAATGCATACATAAGACACCAAGAGAATTACGGCCTTTCAGTTGAACTCATGTCTTTGTTGGTATGGATGTGAGACAGCACACTGGCCCTTCCAGTTTGATCGGCAATGCAGGCTTGAAGTCAATAAATTGTGACACCATAGCATTATACTCTCCATATATAGAACCTGGAAAAATCAATCACAAAGCTGCTGCAGTAAACAACTCCCACAGAATGATATTTTAGGTAGCACTAGGTAACAGAAATTCAGTCCCTGTGCAGTCCGAATTCCAAGCTGAATGCATACTTTGGAGTAAATAGAAATATAGGAAATTGTCTCATAGAGATAAAAAGTTTTCTTGTTCCAACTCACTGATGTTATAATCCTATCAACATAAATGGCAGCTTCTAAATGAGTTCCAGAAAGACAGATTAAGCGAGGAGTCTTGTCTATATTCCATCATTCCTGTGGTTGCTAGAATCCAAGGATAAGATATACAGTGAAGACAAGATATACGGTAAAGTCAACAAATAAATATTTGCCCCTCCTCCTCCTCGTCCTCATCTTCCATTAGAGAGCATTTAGAACCCCACCAACGATTGAATTGGACCACACTTCCCGCACAGAACCCCCATTCCTTGAAGGGATTCCTTCCATCTCCTATGCTTGCCCATGCAAGCGCACCATGCTGCCATGCAATGAGATGCCTGCTCTCTCCTCTCCAGTTGGAGTCTCAGAAATAGCACACCCTTGGCTGAGAGGCTGTCCAACCACAGTGGAGGGGGGGCTTTTGGTGGAAGGATTTGCCATCTGTTTCCAAAAAGGAAGCGAAGGACAGGCGGCGAGATCGTCAGCCTTTTCTGACAAAGAGGTTCCTAAGACCATCAGAAATATATGTTTTCTGATGGTCTTTGGCGACCACTCTGAAACCCCCTCGTGATCCCCTCAGGGGTGCTGACCACCAGGTTGAGAAACGCTGCACCAGAGCACAGATGTACTTTAAATCCAGTTGCTGCCTCTTGCAGAATTTGGGGATTGTAGTTTAGGGAGGACCTTTAAACTGCTCAGCCAAAGAGGTCATGAGCCTCACTAATGTACAAACCCACATATTTTGCAGGAGGTAGAAACTGGATTTAAAGTGGATACATGCTCTAGTGTGATGAAGTCCTCTGTTAAAGCTGATTAGTACTTGGATGAGAGGCTACCAATGAATACTTGGTGCTGTGGACGGTAATTCAGAAGAAGCAAATGGCAAATCTCTTATGTATTCCTTGCCAAAGAAAACCCTATCAAATTCATGAAGTTGGTATAAGCCAGCAAGTGACTTGAAGGTAAATGTGCACACATGCAGGTACACAGAAACTAGAAGCCACTGTTCTTTCTCTTCCTTTTCTGTTCCAATGCACTCCCTAAAAATGCAGATTTATTAATGTTTTCTGCTCAGCGCAATGAAGGGAATGACAAACAGTAACTGGTTGACCTGGCATGCCTGAGGGTAGCTCACCAGAGTACACTAGGTTCATTCACCCACAGTTGTTTGGGGATTGTTCGCTCCCAGTCATGAATAGACACTTAATCCCAGTCCAACCTCTCTTGCAGGGAACACAGCTTTGTTGGCCACTCTTCTCTGTCAACACTGTGCTTTCTTGGCTCCTTTCTGGTAGCCTCTGTGCCCCGAGGAGACAATAGTTGCCCTGGCATATGAGGAGCCTCTTGCTTAAGACAGGAGTAGGCCAAGTTTGGCTCTGCATATTAATTTGCTGTATGGCTCTTGGCAATGCGTTAAGTACCATGGTGCCCACTTCCAACCAAATGAGATATTTGCTTAGCAAGGAAAGAGCAGGCTGGAAACTGGGAGGGGGGGGATATTATAATAGGCAGAATAACAGAGCTACATTTCAAGTCCTCAGAAAGTTTTTTCTGGAGATAAAGTTTTTACTCTCACTCATTGTTTTTCTGTTTTCCAACTTTCTCTCCCTTTTTAAACAGTCATGGAAACCCACTGGGCGACCTCAAAGATGTCACACACTCTT